CCCCCCCCACCTCCACCCCACTAGTCCCCGGCCACGGTGCCACTCACCTGCTGTCCTCGCTTCCTTGCAGGCGTCGTACATGTCAGTCTTAATCTCTGGGTTGTCGTCCGCGATGGTCTCGCCCACGGTGACGAACCTCTCCACGGCCAGGTTGACGGCCTGCCCCACCCGGGCCACGGCGCGCACCGAGCGCAGCGGCCGGTCCCGGTGCTCGCCATGGGACACCAGCGAGGAGATCTGCAAACAGAGAGGACGCCGTCAGCCACACCGCAAATGAACACGACGCCGGCGCCGCGGCAAACCTTTTCCATCTCCACAATAACTCGACGTCAAGCGCACGATGATTGCAGACTGAATAATAAAACGAAAGGACCACCTCCTTTCCAGTTCCGCTCTGCCTCCCATCAACATCCCCGGTTAACGACGTGCCTGTGTTCGTGAGCGTGCCCATCAAGCCCTTGCCCTTCATCCAATAAGCCCCATGCAGCCGCGGCGTGCAGGGGGAAGGCGGGAGGGGGGGAGGGGAGGAGGCACGGCCAGGCCAGGGCGAGGCCGAGACCTATCAGTTGAGCGCCTTCGCAGAGGCCGTCGCGGCCGCGGCCTTGGGTTTGATAAGTGCCCTGGGGCGGGGCGGCCGGCGGGACGGGCTGAGGCCCTGGCGGCGGTGGGCCGGGCTGGGCTGGGCTGCACCTGCCTGAGACTCGAGTCGGCCACAGTGCAGCCACGCCCCGCGGGGCCTCCACGCCCTCAGGCAACACGTCTACGCGCTCTTCTCCCACTTCTTTCTATTCTCTCCCCTCACACATCCACACGCACACACACAGTATATAACACCCCAGCCCATACCAACCCTCCTCCCAAACACACTCCACTTTCCCTAATCCTTAGACACTCCGCTACTCTCTGCACACCCAACTCTCCCCTCCTTATTCAATTCCATTGCGCTCTCCATCCCTATCCCTCTCTCGCGCGCGCGCGCTTACGGTGAGGGGGGCACGAATTTCCCGTTTGTCTAGCGAAAAGAGTCTGGAAAATCCTGCCCGCTAAGAGCAGCTGGCGCGCGGTATAGAAATGAGGAAGAGAAGGGGGTAGGGGGCGTAGAGAGAGAGACAGAAATATCCTCTTCCTTCTCTCTCCCTCAGTTTCCCTCTCCGACATAACGGACAGAGCCCAACCTAATAAACAGGAACGAGAGAGAGAGGAAAAAACATGCTGAAAGGAAAAGGATGGGGGTAAAAACAAAACAAGCGAGAGAAAACAACAGGGGGACGGCGACGGCTCGAAAAAAAGTGCCAACAACAATTCTCAGTTATTTATCGTTGCGAAACATGTTTTCGCACGCCCTTTCCCTTCCCCTGCCCCCCCCTCCCTACCACCTGGCGTCGAGGACACACACGCGTGGCGCTGGCGCCGGCCGCACCGCGCCTCCAGGGCCTCCAGGGTCGCGCCGCGGTCGAGACCAAGAGCCCCTCCTGGAGGGCTCCTGGAGCATCGCGTGCCGCCGGCCAGAACGATAAGATAATCTCTCTCCGTTATTATTAGAGGGGTATCCTGAGGGGGCGCAGTGGGGTGAGG